GGTTGCTGTTTCATTCTATCCATAATTTCTAGATGTTATTTTTGTATTGGTTCAATCTAGTTCTTTGTCCTTTTTATTTCTTGATGAAAAAATTCAATTTCTAGTGATTCAATTCGTTATTCATCTCACTCTGTACACATATGATCTAATCTTGACTACCATCGTGATAGTATCATTCAAATTCTTATAATAATCATCATGCATGTATTCAAAACTTGTAACATCGATAAAAAATAGTCCTTTTAAGATATTGTTTCGAAAATGAATACGAGTATTTGTGACTAGTCCGAGTTGATTGTCATCATCAAAATTTGGAGAAGAAATGTCCAATCCGTTTTCTTTAAATGTGCCAAAGTTTTTGAGATCAAGAAATCGTGTTTGATGAATTTTTTTCGCTCGACAAAGTAGATAATTTTCAGTAGTAGTAGTAATACGAAAGTACCTACTACTGGTGTGGGGTGGACCAAATTTTAGCACACTTTACATAATGAGTATTCAACAATGATTGGAAACCACGTGACAGATTAATATGCAACCAAACCAAGAATACATTGGTATCTCTTTAACGTGGATGGAAAAGAGACGCCGCATCAAAAATGGTCACGTGGCACTCAATCATTGTTGAAGACCCGGTACATATTTCAGGGTGACCAGTTATTTTTGTCGGCTATTTGAATTTTCCGCTATTTACGAGAATGTGAAATAACTATATCCAATCTGAAGGATTTTATGTTTCAACTCAATAAATTTATATGCTTGCAATGTCAACCACTGCCAAGAAAAAACTATCGATATAGGGACCTACTATTTGAAGTAGAGGTCATGTCGCCGATGTCGAAAGCACAGTTTAAGGAATGGGTATTCGAAAACTGTGTCGAAAGGTACTAAAAATACTAATAAATAGATTAAAAGTAAGAAAAAAAAAATAATAAAAAGCTTTTATTCAATTGCTCTATAAAAATAATCGAATAAAATATTCCTTTATGATTTTAACTATCAACTTATAACCTCATTATACACATTATTTTGGATTTAGAATATCTTCACATTATTTTTCGAATTACTTTCAGCTCATTCGGTTGAATATATCTACTTCAAAATTGAGTTCAGAGATTCCACCCGAACTAAACATACATACAAGCTTTTTGAAAAAAGGTGAAATCCCTGAGATTGGATATGATTATTGCCGACTATTTATTGTTTCACCCATCGAGTGCTAAACAGATATAATCACATTATTACTACGCTATACCTATCAATATTTGTCTGTTCTGTCCACTTCTTGAATGCTGTGAGAGTTTTTCTTATGTTCAGTTAGTTTCCTTTGAATTTTAAAAAAGAAAGAAGCATACAAAGAATTTAACTTGACCTGATCGGAGATTTATTCGAAATGATCTTCTTACGTAATAAAATTCAGAACACTGCCGACATCAGTTTTGACTACGGCTTATTTTCCAAATCGAGAGTAGCTACTGAAGAACTTCTCAGACTATCATACAAAACATATTTGTTGGCACCTTCGATGTGTGAGCTCATGAAGTAGTTCTTTCAATACAAAATTGGTCTATTTAATGAAAGCTTCCAACGGTAGCATCTTCTATCCATACAGCTCCAAGCCGATCGACTCTCAAATGAGTTGCTCCTTGCCTAATAGATTTCCACTTTCTGGCCTGAAACATAAATATACATTGTGAATATTCCTAGCAGAGTAATACAGGGTATTATATGGTGAGGTAGGAAAACTGAGCCATGGAAGATTTTGCACCCCTTTATAAGATTCCCCATTTTTCAACTCATGGCATCATATCTGATTGCATACTTCCTGAACGAGGGGGTTACCACTACTAAAGGAGTGTTTCAAGCATTTCCGTATTTTATGCATTTCGTAAGCATTTCATTCATTTCGTAAGTATTTCATCCATTTTGGAAGCATTTCATGTATTTCAACCATTTCCAAATGGATTCCATTCATTTCGAAATGCTTCTCATCCATTTCCATACGTGGTGGGTAGGTATCTGGAGCATTTTATTCTGACATTTCATTACATTTCAAGCTATTCAAACCCATTTCAAGCCATTCCGTCACATTTCACTACAAGAATTTCAGAACATTTCGTACCATTTCCTTATAGCATTTCATTTCATTCCAATCAATCAATCAACTTTATAAATTTATTCATTTCAAGATATTCAAAAGCATTTCAAGGCATTTCATGGCATTTCAAGATATCTCATGGCATTTTGAAGAATTTCATGGCCTTTTGAAGAATTTCAAAGTATTTCAAGGCATTTCATGGTATTTTGCCTGAGTGCCACTGGTGCAATGAAAACCACTCCAACAGCCGCTTTAGAGGTCCTCTTGAACCTACCACCACTACAAATATATATTCAAGGCGAAGCCAGAGCAGTCGTGAGTAGATTGTCAAGGGGTCAAGCACCCATAAGCAACGCGCACGGTAAATACTATAGGAAGCTATATGAAGAGTTGGAAAGCGACCCCATCATGGGGATGCCAACGGATGGCATTTCCAAAATATAGTTTTAAAAAAACTTTTAGAATAAGTATAACGGACAGAGAGGCATGGAAGAAAGGACCTCCTAGCAATGCAGACATTGCTGTCTATACGGACGGCTCCAAAACTGAGGAAGGATCAGGAGCTGGTATTTATGGGGGCCAAGCCAAAGACAAGAATCTCACTGAGCTTAGGCAAATACGCGACGGTGTTTCAGGCAGAAAGTATTGCAATACATCATTGCGTGAAAGAATTGATAAGGCAAGAGTTTAAAGGCAAAAACATTGCAATCTATTCAGATAGCCAGGCAGAAATCAAAGCAGTCAACTCTATGCAAGTTAACTCAAAACTAGTATGGGACTGCTTAGAAACACTAAATGCACTCGGCAGTCAGAACAGATTGACTCTAGCATGGGTACCAGCACATACAGGGTACGAGGGCAATGAAGAGGCAGACTCACTTGCCCGAGCAGGAGCAAACAAAGCTCTTAATGGCCCAGAACCCTTCTGTGGTATTGCGAAAGCTATACAAAAGACTCGTATCAAATCATGGATGCAAACTAAATCTCAA